AATTCCTGACCTTACAGATATATATATACAACACACACACACACACTAATGATAGAGGTGATCCAAACCAACCACCACTCAAAACCTAAGATGTTGCTCCTGAAGAAAGAGACTGGAGAATCCAGTGTATTAAAGTTCCAGATACATTTGTTGCGATGAGACCACTGAAGGTATAGCATATGTTCTCATCCCAAAAAATGCAAGAAATTTGAGGGAAGCCCACAATCCCAGAGATAGAACCTTAGCTGTAAGTAAGAGCCTGACTGCCCATTCCATACCCTGGAGCTAGATTGGAAGTGGCTGATAGCAAAGGAGGAATAGGGGAGGTTAGATGAACCACCGTGATAACAATGGTAATATTGGAATCCATACCCGCAAATATCATGTCCAATTGTTTTTTTAAGGAAATTATAATCATATGGAAATCCACAAGGTGACATGAAAATCTCAATCCATAACAGAACAAACCAAAGAACTTCACCCGACAAAACCTTGACCAATGCTTTGTTGAGAAAAAGTGATCACAATATCTGAGTGAGGTGCTTTTATACAGTGTCAGGATAGAGAGCGCATTGATGCAGGTGGAGGAATTTGCAAATTAGATACTGCTAAGGGCATTTAAGTGGGATATAAGGACTAGGGCATGTGAGACAAATGCTTAGATGGGCATAGCCAATGTCAAGGAATAGCTAAAGTGTCAGTGGAGGGTATGTTTTGAAATTCAATGTCTCACCTTCATTTCTGCTCTCTTAGGGGGTGAAATTTTGTTGTCATCCACCTTGATTTCTCCTGGTGGCATCTTGTTGAGACATTGGTACATAATGTTAAGACTCTGCCTCATTTCTTCAATACGACACAAATACCTAAGTAAAGAGAATGAAGATTATTCATTGTTCTACAAAATCTAACTTGTATTTATAAAGCTGATTGACATTGAATTACTGCCAATTAATGTGAAAATTATATAACCAGTTTTTCAATAATTTTCATATTACAATTTTAAATAAAAATAAATAAAAACAACAGAAAATAATCACACATACAGTGGTGTAGGGACTTTTTCCAAGGGGTATAACATTCAATGAATCTGAATTGACAGATATTGCATTTGAAAGGTATTGCTACTGAGAAACTACCGAGAAATTAATAACACTATACAATATATATTTTAACTTTGACACTAAAACTCAGAATCTCTAAATTGAAATTTCATTGTTGTTTTGGTCCACATAGGAATTCCTCTAATTGAGAGTGACCAGTGCTGATACCACTTGCTCCTTCTATACAGAAAGTGATTGCTCACCCAGTTCCTGCACCACTGCCAACATTTACTGATGGAGAACAGAACTTACACAATGCAGATTATTGAAAAGCACATGAGATGACCAACTCTACAGCTACACAGAAAGATATGAAATATTACAATGATATTACATGCTTAATCTTATAAACAACTTATTCTAAGAAATTATGAGTGAAGGTACAGAAGAATGTTATCATATGACAACCAATACGAGGGATCACCAGGCTGGTGGGGATATGACAAACATAGTAGTCTAGGTAATATTTATATCATCAACTTTCATGATGTTAAGACAACTACATCTTAACAGCAAATTTACAACAGATATACACATACTAACTGTCACAATTTAAACAGTTACAAAAAATATATTAATCTGACTTCTGAGAAAAGCAAATTCAAGTTTAGTAATTAATTTCTCAAATAATATTTACATTTTTATGAAAAATAAAACCAGGGAAATGGTTTTAATGCTTCCAAGTATTACTGGAAATTATGTTTCTGTACATAGCTCAATCCATCAGTTTTGATGGGAGTTACCCAACTTACCTGTCGTAGCAATCTCCTCGGACTCCTATCGGTACATCAAACTCTACCTGGTCATAAGCATCATATGGCTGTGCTTTTCTGATATCCCATTTGATTCCCGAACCTCGTAACATAACACCACTATACCAAAAAAAAAGAGTTATGAAAATCTCTAAATAAAAATATATTTCTTTAATTCAACACAAATTAAGATACAATAGACATGAAAATAAATTTTGTAGAAAAAAGCAAAGAACAGAGAGTTTTAATAATCTTAATGTATTTGTGGCAAAGCTCCTACAGCTGTATGCCACAATCCCCAATTTTGAACTATTGACCACAAAGAAAATATCTAGTCAATAGCACTCTATCAAACACCATCCATGTTAAGGAATTGACTGTCACTCCTAAAATACCCAAACAGCTTAAACAGCTTAATCCCTTATAGTGATGGCACATGACGAGACACACATTTGGCATGTAATGTTCTTTGAATAAAAAAGGGAAACAACACCTCTGTAGCCAGAAAGAATATCATCGAAGTTTATGCAAATGTTTTAAACGT